CTTGAGATGGGCTGGGCGTCAATTAGAAGTCGAATCAATAACGAGGCAAAGCGATGCTTTGTTTTCGACTGTTGTTTCTTCCCGATTTCGCTTGTTCATATTTGATCCATTTTCAGATTTTCTGTTACCTTTTTCTTGATTAGGATAATCGAGATTCAATAGGATCTAGCCTGTAAAGCTGAAGCTGAAGCTCCGCTTGAATGCGGTATGTCAGCTTGTTAGCTTGCACTGCCACTGAGTACTATAGTATTTTCTGTGTACGTTAGTCGAGACTTTGGTGTCTCCCTTTGTGAAACAGTCTCTGTCTCGACTTCGTACCGTCACCAAGTGGGTATACTCATCGATTCTTTATAACAGGGTGGTCTAAAAGAAGAAACGAGAATAAACATCCAGAATAGTTTTTACACGGTGTCTTGGCTGAGCCCAAGCTATACAGCTTCCGCCGCTAGAGTAGCCCAAGCTATCTCTTTAAGCGGCATAAGACTGCCACGGGGTCACGACCAGGGTAGGGAGCCAATCAAAATAACCGTAATAGCCGGTACCTCTACCTATACCTAAAATAGCATATTATATAAGTACTAATAGTTAGTATTATTATAAATAGCTATATTATATACTTTATAGCTATATTTAGTCTATAATTATTACTAATTTCTTAATATTAGCTATAAATAGCTTTTTTTTTTTTACTTTTTTAGCTAAGGCTATCCTTATTAAAGGCCTTTATAAGCTAAGTAAGAAAAAGAGCTTTTTCTGCCTTTATAAATATAATTAATATCTCTTTATAAGTAAATTTACTATACTTTAAAATCTTTATTATCTTTTTCTTTCTTTATATAATATCTCTTTTTTATATTATTATTAATATTATACTTATTAAAAATAATATTATAAATAGCCTCTTTTTAGTCTTAAAGTATATTATAAGGCTTTTAATAAGGATATTAGGTTTTTTTTTATAAAATAAAGCTATTTATAAATATAATATTAAAAAGGAAAGATTAAAGTAATACTTATTAAAAACTATATTAAAAATAATATTAATATAAAGAATAGGATCTTATTTAATTACTATAATTTATATAATTTATTTTATTATTATATTAAGTAATAATAAAAGGAATAAGGATTATCCTAGCCTAATCTCTAATTAAAGACCTCCTTTAGGCACTATGCCTTTACCTTTATACCTCTTTTAGCAGGCAATTTCCTCTTTTTTAGTATATAGTTAAGAGGGGCTATATTATATATAGTTAAAAGGAAGAGTATTATAAAGCTATCTTTTTAAGTAATTTAAAGGATTTAAAAAATAAGAAAAGAAATAAGTTAATAAGGAAAATATAGCTAAAAGTTATTTATACTTATTTATCTTTTATTAAAATTAAATATACCTTATTAAATAATAATAGCTTATTATTAAAAAGCTTTTTAATCTCTTTTATTTACTTTATCTTAATAATAATATTATAATTAAGGTATATTATACCTATAGCCTTATATTTAAGCTATTAAAGTAGGTAAAAAAGCTATAATAATAAGAAAAGGTTATTAATAAAGATATAATATATTTATATTAATAGCCTTTTTAATAAGTAAATTATAATACTTTATATATTATTAAAAAGGATTTTAGTTTATAGCTTTTCCTTTTTATTATATAGTATTAATATATCTTTTACCTTAATTATTATAATTATAATTAGTAATGCCTTTATATATTAAAGCTATTATAAAAAGTAGCCTTATTATATAATAACTTAGATTTTAAAGCCTATTAATATAGACTTTCCCTTAATAAGTATTATTTCTTTTAATTTACTTATAAAAGGGACTATATACTTATTTATAATTAAATTAGTTTTTAAATAATAAAGTTTAATAAATACCCTTTATATATATTTAAATTACTTTTTAATTACTTAAAAGGTCTTTAAAAAATCCTTTTTATTACTTATATTAAGATTAATATAATTAAAAGTATAAAAATATTATATAATTAGCTTAAACTTTTATAATAATATAAACTTTATAAATAAATAAAAGAAATACTAATCTCCTAGGCTAAGGGCCTTTTAATAATTTATAAAAGATATTTTTTTATAAATTTTTAAGTAAATAAGGATATTAAGCTATATATAAGCTATTAAAATAAAAATACCTTTTTAAGTATATAAATATAAATAATTAAAAAAGGAGGTATTTTAGCTATCTTTAGTATTATTATTAATATAGAAAAAAGCCTAGTTTTTAATATATTTAACTTATAATTATATAAAGGAAATAAATATAAAAAGCTAAAATAATTTAAATAATAGCTAGGGCAAAAGGTTAATTTAAAAATTATAATATTTTATATTAAAAGATTAAAAATTATTATTATAGCCCTCTTTAAGTAAAATATTAATTATATTAATAAGGTTATTAATAGCTATTATAAAAGGCAGGCTATTAAAGTTATAATTATTTAATATATATATCTCTTAAGAGCTTATTATTTTAATTAAGATTTATTAAGGTTAATTTATATAAGGATTTTAATAATTTTAGTAGTATTAAAAGAAGAAGCTATCTAACAGGAACTTTATATACCCTGCAGGTACCTGCAAAAAAGCGGGGTAAGTGACCTGTGGCAGTCTTATGCCGCTCAAAGAGATAGGTAAATTGCGTTAGGTCCCTTACAGTACCCCGCAGGTCCCTTCAACGTCCGTCTTGTCCACTGCAAGCTCAGCCCGTCAGATCCAATGCAAAGCATGGCCTGAATCACATGCATCAACAAAAAGAGTCCAGCATTTGGTTTGGCATGAAGGGATAAAAGAATCGAGGAGCTTAGTGCTAATAACAAGTGCCTCATTGAGTCATTATGATCCTCAAGATCTATAATTATCCATAGAGACCCTTGTAAATAGACGTAAACACGCCTACGTCATCCCCGTCATTATCGCCAGCATCATCTCACTTCGTACTGTAAGCTCCCCCCGCCGCTGACTGGGCTTGCATGTTTCATTTTCTCCTCCGACATCATCCCATTCATTCAGTCAAAGTGCACGTAAACCTACGACCTCAATCAAACACCAATAGTGCTCACATCTTATCGGCCCTCAGGCCCAAATCCTTCATCATGGAATCTTTCTCTCTACTTAAGCGTCGTACCACCGACCTCCTCCACAATGTCCAGCAAAACCTCCCCTCTATGCCTATGCCTTCCGTTCCATCCGTCCCCTCGGCAACTCACCAGAAGAAGAGTTCTATGAAAGGAACATGGGAGCGCATTGATGCTCCTGACGTCCCCCGTTCTTCCCATTCTCTCAATATCGTCCACGGAACCGCTTACCTCTTTGGTGGAGAGATCGAGCCCCGGAAGCCCGTCGACAATGATATGCATGTAGTGACTCTCCCTTGGAGCAGTGCCGGCGCCGATTACTTCAAGATCAAGGCAGTTCCCGCCAAACCAGATGCCCAGCCGAGGAAGACTGAGGTTCAGCAACCCGTTCAGCCAAAGGCTCCGGAGCCAGTCAAATCCGACGAGAAGCAGGACGAAGAGGAGATTGAGAAGAAGCTCGATGAAGTTTCTCTGGCGGAGGACGACGAAGAGGATGAAGAAGACGACGAGTCTTCAGATGAAGAGGTCGAGAGCAAGTCCAAGGGTAAACAGCCTGCTGGTCCCGAACAGCCGGAACTGGGTGATGTCCCAGCTTCACGAGTCGGCCATGCTACTGCCGTCATCGGATCCCGTATTTTTCTTTTTGGTGGTCGCGGGGGTCCCGATATGCAGCCTCTTAACGAAGGTGGCCGTGTTTGGGTCTTTGACACCCGCTCCAACACATGGACATACCTTGACCCTGCCCCTGTCGTTCCAGGTGGTGCAATTGTACCCCAACCCGCACCGCGAAGCTATCACACAGCCACATCGATCGACCGCCCCCGAGACTTTGCTCCTAAGCGGCCCAAGGAACCTGAGACCTGGGGACAGTGGGCACTCGGGGACACCTCCAAGACGGGCATTCCTCAGGCTCCTGTTGTTGGTAATGTTGCTGAAGATGCTGTGGATGAAGAGTCGGATGGCTACGGTACCTTCTTCATTCATGCTGGATGCCTCGCCAATGGCGAGCGCACCAACGATATTTGGGCTTTCAACGTCCACGATCGTACTTGGACTGAGCTTCCTGCTGCGCCAGGCCCTGCTCGAGGCGGCAGTGCCATCTGTGTGAGCAAGACCCGCCTGTTCCGCTTCGGTGGTTTTGATGGACAAAGTGAACTCGGAGGGCAACTTGACTTCCTCCACCTCGAAGTTGAAACGTTTGACGATAGAGGCACCAAGGGTGAGGTTGCTGTTCGCGCCCGTGGTGGTTGGCAAACCATTCTTGAGAGTGATCCGAATACCGACTCAACTGAAATCCACGCCGAACCAGCTCAGATCTGGCCAGAACCCCGAAGTGTCGCATCTTTGGAGGCAATCACTTCAGGTGCTGGTTATGAGTATCTTGTCCTAACCATGGGTGAACGTGACCCCAGCTCAGAAGGTCATGAAGGTGCAGGCAAGTTCTTGAATGATGTCTGGGCTTTCCAAGTTCCGCCTCTGGGTATGACGGCCGCCAGCGTTACCGCTGCCATGTGGCAAGCTGTCGGCCGCAAGACAGGTGAGGGCAAGTGGACAAAGCTTGATCTTGAGCCATATGACGATGATAACAGTGATGAGATGCCCGTCGCGAGAGGCTGGCTTGCGAGTGCACCTATGGGTGAGCTTGAGGAGAGCGGCATTTTGATTTGGGGAGGTTTAGGCGAAGACAATCAGCGCCTTGGAGACGGTTGGATCTTGCGAGTGGGCGATTCCTAGGTGAAAATGATGAGAGATTGAACAAATAGCCGGTTTGGATGTAGTGTTCCTTTTTGGCGTAACATGTTTTTGACGATTGTATCAATTGAACGAATGGAACGAAGAAACAAGATCCTATGCAGACACAATACCTCACACAGCATATCATATTGTTATTGACAAGAATCCACGCATTCTATACCTGAAATAGCATTTGACATGGTGTTATGTACAGTTGAAGCCTCCTCCCGCCGGACACTTTTTGCATTTCTTGCTATTGAACTAAAAAAGAGAGATAATAATGTTATAATTCTACAGGTCCGCCCTTGTGGTCTCGGTTCCCCAGGGCTCCGCGTTGAGGCTTGTTTGACCAGCACTGTTCTCACATGTATCTCGGCTGCTGAGAGGACCAGGCTTAGGAACGTTGACAGTAGAGGGATCGGAAGCAGTAGCCTGGGCCCGGAGCGACTTGAGGAGGTCCTTCACGGAGGCGGGGGTGAGATCCTCATAGTAGTCGTCGTTGATCTGGATCATGGGGGCGTTGACGCAGGCACCGAGGCACTCGACCTCGAGAATGGTGAAGAGACCGTCGGCAGTGGTCTGGCCCTGCTCAATTCCGAGCTCCTCCTTAATGGCCTTGACGATAACATCAGATCCGCAGCCTCCAAGTTGGCAAGGTGTCTATTGGGGCCAATGTTAGTGGGTTATGTTTCTTAGATTATCCGTTAATCTTCAATGACGTCTAATCGTCATTGCCAGACTAGTGTGAAGCAATTGCCGTCGACAAGGGGATGCTTCATGTAGGAAAAAAACATACCGTAGTGCAGATCTGGACAAAATACTTGCCCACGGGTGTTCTGTTATACATGGTGTAGAAAGAGGCAACCTCGTACACTCGCATGGGAGGCATCTCAAGAAGACGGGCGACCTCGTTCATGACGCTAATGCTGGTGAAGCCGTGCTGGCGTTGGCCGAGGTCCAGCAAAGGCATGACAGCAGCTTTCTTGTACTGGGGAGGGTATCGCTTGAGGATCTCGGCAATGACGGTCTGGTTCTTCTCGTTGAACTTGAAGGGGATGTCGGGGTTGTTGTCCTCGGTGTTTCGATGCTGTCATACGGCCATAGGTCAGACAAGTTGGTTCTCATCGCTAGCAATCGCACGCCGATAGATCTACCATGATCTAGGGTCCAGGGTCGCAATTGACAGCGCCAATTGGCCTACTTACCACCATGAGAGTGTCGCTTCGTCGGCTGGCTGTGAGAGAGAAGGCGGCGCGAGACTGAGGGCGGGCAGCCCGGCACACCGGCCGGATGGCGGAGCGGATGAAGGGAGTGAGCTTGCTCGCCATTGTGGATGATTTGTTGATGCTTTTCCTGAGCGAGCGGAGCGGGTGTCGTCGCGAGGGCGGGAGGGCTTCTAAAGTCGTCGGTTCCGGATCTTGTCAAAATGTCGCCGTCGTAGCGAGCATTGCAATTCAAGTTGGAGCTGCTTGCAAAATCAACATCGATGATTGGTGCGTTTGGCCCAAGGTTTAGCCGTCCCGGTGTGGGCCGATGGAGAGGTACGTACCGCCTCCATGAAGCTCTCTAAGGCACTTGGTCTAGGTATCTCAAGCTGTGATTCCTCATCTTTAATCCATTACCTTGTACCTCAATTGCCATGTAACAGCTCGTTCCTTAGATCTCCATCATTTATGCTTAAATGGTTAACCTCCTATAAATCATCATTATTGGTTTAGCCACGCAAGAGTTCCAATCAGCCACCAACGTGAGCAAACGTTGATGGACTTGGGTAACAGTAGCCCTCCTTGCTAACAGAACCTACCTATCTTGCCAACCCATAACCTTCCGTCTTCAACACTCACAAATAACACTCTATGAAGACAAATTTCGCGATTTTGGTGGTACCACATGCTCCTCTGTCCTTGTGCGCGATCTCCATACCTGTTGGTATGCCTACCTAACCACTGGCCATGTCGTGAATCACGATGCGGTTTCAATAGCCTATAACCCAACTTGCTGTAAGGTGGGTTCTGTTGAACGATGATCAGCATTCGTTTTGGAATCTTGAATTTGAAACGATATCCAATTGGATTCGTTCCTTTTCATGGCACAAGCAGGATCCAACACGTCGATCTCTTTGATGCTCGTAAAACAACACCGAAACTCAAGCCATCCACTACTGAATTATGTCTTCACTCATGATCTTTCAGGTAGGACAACCGAAGAGTTGTAGCATACTCGATTATATGCGCAAGTGTTGCTTTATACTCGCTTGTTCTCGTGCGAAAGTTAAACGACAGCGTACATGACCAGGGTAATATAAGCTTAAAAGGGTTTTGTCTTTGAACCTTTTTCAACCACAAGACAAACCCGAGTCAAGCTAATCTTGTCACCGCGCATTGTTACAAAGTATTCCGCTCGATCTTTTGGGAAGCACAATTGTTTCGTTCGGCTAGAGGCTTCCCTCCTGCAATGAGACATCAAGTAGATTGGGTGCTGAGGTATCACCACCTTTATGTTGTGGCTCTGGAGGCTCATAACACGGGGCTACCGATGACAACTGGTCCTGTAGTTGATAACTCACCAGACCAGGCGCATAGAACCAGCAAATAATTTGTTGGGCGTTGAAGTGGTATCGATTGTTGTCGTCGTAGGTTTCAGGCGGCGGGTACAGAATAGAGTAGGGAGCCGGCGTTGTGATGGCTGAAGTCCAGTAACGAATGTAGCTAATTTTAGTTAAGCGTCCTCATTACTCTCTAAAAAAGGCTGAGGAATTACAGCATGTACAAACAGTTCATGTATATAATATTGAGCCTATTCGCGTCAATAATCCAGCCACGGTTGTAATTATTGGATCTGTCATTCATTTGGTTCCGGTGCCATCGTTTATCGTGAGTTGACAACCCCTGGCTCAACTCTATCGTCTCGGTCTCAAAGTGAGAGACCCTTGTTTTTAACTAAGAGCTAGGATCTTTCAGCTAATATCTTAGTTCTAGAGCCACTTTGGAGGCGCCAGATCTTAAATGAACTACGGAAGGAGGTAGGTAGATGGCGCACCTCCTTCCTGAGGTTTTCAGCTTGGCTTGGCTTGATACTTCTAGGCAATTGCAACTCGTCTGAGCTGGACCTCCTTCCATCTTACAAACAAAAAGAACCTTCAATTTCAGCTGACTAGACACTCTGAAATCCATCTCTCTTAAAGCATCGATATCTCGACTTGTCGATAACACCGCATCATGCCAATCGAGTCGCGATTTTCGGTCTCGGTTCCTAACTGCTCGATTCAACAATGGATATTTGGCTCGCCTTCGGGGCCATTGCCAGATCAGAAGGCCTTCATCGAAGCTGATAACCCTGAGCAACGCTATTTCACCTACAACCAAGCTCGATTGTTTGCAAAGCGTATCGCCGTCGGTCTTGTTAACAATGGTCTTAGGCCAGGTGACCGCGTTCTCCTCTTCGCTAGTAACAGCTTATTCTTCCCAACCATTGTGATGGGCATTTGGATGGCCGGGGGCATATTCACAGGAGCTAACCCTGGGTATGTCACTCGAGAGTTGGCCCATCAACTTCAGGATAGCGAGGCATCATTCATCGTTGCTGCGGAGGGTGGCATGGAGGTGGCATTGGCTGCTGCCTCACAGGTTGGTATGGAAGCTTCACAAGTCTTTTTGTTGGATTCGACATGGCCAGATTCACCTGTTGAGACACAACCTAGAGAAGGCAGTCGACACTGGACAGAGCTCATTGCATCCAGGCCAGAAGGCGAGAGATTCGAGTGGACTGAGCCAATGGATTCTAAAGACTCTGTCTGTTCTCTCAATTACAGCTCAGGCACTGTAAGTTATGCTTTCAACTTTGTCTCAATCCTGAATTAGTGCCGCGAAGCTAATAACAGTAGACTGGAATACCAAAAGGTGTCGAGATCTCACATTACAATCATGTTGCGAATAGCTGCGGTGTGACTCTTTTCCATAAGCTCCATCCTGACTACGAAGCTCGACGCCAATGTGCTGCTGCCCTGTGTTTCCTCCCCATGTATCACGCCTTTAGTCAAGGCTACTTCATCACCAGCTTCCCTTGCGAGCGAGTTCCTGTATACATCATGTCTTCTTTTGATTTCCCTAAAATGCTCGCACATATTCAGAATTTCCGCATCACGAAGCTTCTAGCTGTTCCCCCTATTCTTGTTCTTATGTCGAAAAACCCACTTGCACGTCGTGCCGACCTGAGTAGCATCGACATGATCGCATCCGGTGCTGCCCCGTTAGCGAAGGATACACAACGCGAGATAGCCGGGATGATACCTGGGGGCGAGTCAGTAGTACGGCAAGGTTGGGGGATGACTGAAGCGACCTGCACCGCATTGTCGTGGGACCCTAACAAAGCTCCCAGCTCTGCGGCTGGTGAGCTGACGCCAGATTCTAAAGCCAGGTTGGTCCATATCGAAACTGGAGAGGAAATTACGGCTGCAAACATCCCAGGAGAACTCTGGATCACGGGTCCTACAGTAATGCGTGGCTACTGGAGAAACTCAAGTGCAACCCAAGACGCATTTGTTACTGACTCTGACGGCACTCGATGGCTTCGTACCGGGGACGTCGCATATGTGGAGGAATACGCAAAAGGGTCTCTCTTTCATATCGTGGATCGCGTCAAGGAGTTAATCAAGGTTAAAGGCATGCAAGTTGCTCCAACTGAACTCGAGTCTCTCCTACTTGAACGAGAAGATGTTGCCGACGCCGCAGTTGTTGGAGTCAAGATCAACGGTGAAGAGCTCCCACGAGCCTATGTCGTCAAATCAGCAAAAGCAAAAGACACATCTGAAGAAGACATCGCAGACTGGCTGGCTAGTCGTGTTGTCAAATACAAACAACTTGAGGGGGGGTGGTCTTCGTTCACGCTATCCCCAAAATTCCTGTAAGTCTATGACCCCTCTCATTATGAGGCGCTGTAAGTTCGAGGCTTACATATTGTCACTCCAAGTCGGGCAAGATCTTGCGCAAGGCTCTTCGTGAGCGAGCAAAACGCGAAGTTAGCAACGGCCTTGAGGTGCGCGCCAAGCTGTAGGTCAGCGGCGGCGACGGGCGCGCATGCTAATCTATTGCATCCCTTTGCATAAAACCCCTAGGGTAGGGGGGCTGTCTCAACACGTAACAGTAGCATCTTTCATGGTTCTTCAAGGCATAACTTTGTTTCCATTGATCGTCCACACAGGCCTCAACATGCCCTTACCATGAGACATATATTTCAAATTCCATCACCAACCATCATCCTGACCTCGTCTAACAGTGTTGAGGGCATCTTCATATCTCGAGCCCTATCAGCTCGACCTCCATCAATTCGATGTTGGCCTGGCAGCTTCACACCATCGGCGATTCCCAATATCTCCTGGGCAACCGCTATTCCACATCTCGCCGCCACTGGCATTCCATGACCCGTATATCCAACACTAACCCACAGGCCATTATCTTCACCGCCCAGAGAAGCGGGTAGTTGACCAACCCAGGGATAGCCATCTTTCGAATAGCCCATGATGCCAGTCCACTCATAAGTAGCTGGCAGAGAAGTGTCCTCGGATTCTTCTGGTGCCCTTAGCTTGACGGCCTCATGAAGCGAAGCACGCAATCGCTGGGCTATAACTGGGTCGATTGAATCGTCCCGCGATAGTCCAACTTGGCCGTCAGATGAGCCTAACCTCTCACCGCCAGTGATAAGTTCACCCGAAGGTCTCTGGACAAGATAGTCATCTCCTCCAGCTGGAGTCCACCACACGTGGCTATGCTCCAGTGGTGAGCTGCCGTCTGAAGGGGTGAGAGCAGCAACTTGACCACGTACGGGAACGATGTACCCAGATAGCTTTGGGATAAGGTGTGAAGTGTAAGCATTAGTTGCTAGGATGAGTTTCTTGGCTACTATCTGGCCACGAGGGGTGTGGAGGGCCCATGAGTCACCTATCCGCTGAAGGTGCTCCACGGGTGTCTTTGTTTGAAGATTGAAGACGCCGGAGTCGTTCTCTTTAAGGAGGCTCTCGAGAACCCAGCTAACGAGCTTATAGGGCCATAGTTTAGCAGCGTTGGGCTGGTATATGGCAGCAGATGCCCCTGGAACTCGCAGCTTCTTCAGCTGCTCCTGATCCGTGATAACCTTGATATCGTTCGCAAGGTCAGGATTGGTTTTCTTTAGAAGATTTAGATGTCGGGTCACGATGTCGAGGATTTCTTGTGAAGGAATGCGATGCACGCCTCCAACTGTCTCCCAGTCACAAGGGATCTTGTGCTCTGATACAAGGTGCTTTAAGAAGTTGAAAGTGTCCAGTTCAAATTGAGCTACTGGAGCTTTGGCGGCGTAAATAAGAGGCTGGCAATGGCCGCCATTCTGATAATAATCAGTAAACCTGTATAAAAAGACTCTCACCAGACTCAACCTACTCTTCCTGTAGCTCCCCAACAGGCCTCTCTTGCCTCGAGAAGCACCACATTCTTACAGCCCCCTTTGACAAGCTCTCTCGCTGCAAATGCCCCCGTGATACCACTGCCCACGACCACAACGTCAGCCGTGGAAGGGAGCTCTGCTGTAGTGCGATGCCCGAGGAGCTTCTCCGATGGTTTGTGGTGCCAGTACGATTTTGTGCTCTCAATGCTAGGCAATTCGGCCTGTCCTGGTAGTAGCGCGGGGATTGTCATTGTTTACTGAGGCGTATTAAGTGTATATGTGGATGCTGATGTGAGACTAGATATGAGTTGAGGTAAGTTGCGGAGATGTAAGTTGAAAGGCCGGCGGGTTATGCATCGAATGTGAATTTGCTTTGGTAAACCCCGCCTTAGACGGCAGTTATTGGAGGGCGTTGGCGTGACATTAGACGTGTTACGTAGATTTCCGTATTCATCAGTCGCATGCATAGGAGCTCGATAGACTGATATGATAGAGAGCTGCAGTATCATAGGCTTTCAGATATCACGCATACATTCCAAGACATCACGCAATTTAATACAAAGCCAAAGCGAAGTGTTGATTGTGAGTTGATCATATTATTCATGCCATTTCGTCGTCAGAATCGTCAGCAGCTATCAGATCAACCTCCTCCGTCCAGTGACCCTTTGAATCTATCCCATTCTGCCTTGCTTCGGCAGTGGGCTTCTAAAGTATCCTTCCACCATGCTTGCATGCTTGCTTAAAGAGACATTACTATAATTTACAATATTCCAGCGTCTCATGTAGCAAATCCTGCACCTTCCAATGACTCGATACAATCAGTTATTGAAGACAACCGTCTCTTTTTGGCTCTTCCATATGCTGTGTCCTGTGCTGTTTCCCCTCTCTGCTGAATCCTGCAGAGGTTTGCCGGAACTTTTGATTATTACTCCCACCCAATATGCGCTGTAATCACAGCATGTCTAATGCTTTCCGGGGTATTTCGTACACGCAGTCTCGATGTTGAGACGCCAAATATTCAAGCCATCTTGGTGAGAGGGGCACATTCTTCAAATCGTGCTCTCGCTCCCAGTGGCAGACAAAGAAAAGTTGACAAATGAAAAAAAATAGTCGATTCGGGGAACTGTCGTGGTGTCCCTGGTAGCGACGGCCTCCGGATCGAAGGTTGAATAAAGAACTCAACAAAACGCCGTGGGAATAAATCTCCCGCTAATGGCTTCCATTCCTCATGGTATTCGTGTCGTGTCGTAGTAGCAAATAGGTAGATATCGTCAGAGCACATAATTCCTCCTGGTCGTGAGTGCTATGTTCCTAGTTCGAGCCAGGTTCTCCAACATCGTTCAGGCGTATTTCCTCCTATAAAAATCGCAAAAAGTTCCTTCTCAGCAGAACTCCAGTGCTATCCAGAGTGCAATGCAACCAGGTAATTTCCTCTAGACGTCGGTCATCTCTGTGTCACTGTCACCACCCTCTGCGATAGAAATAGGGATCAACTCCTCGTCAGGTCCCCAGTTTCCTTCATAAACAGTTGCCGGTGCGGCACGGTGATGACCAACCCATTGCAAGCCCTCAAGTTCCAGAACCTGATGCACAGTTGGTCGCTCACTGGGCTCTTGAGCTGTCATCCATCGCACAATCAAATCGAGGGAACTGTTGTGCGTGGCATTAACCATAAATTCGGGAGGTTGCAATAGTTCCGATCGCTTGGACGGGCCAAACAAGTTGCTTGGGTCGTGGGTCTTGCCACTTGTGAAATCATCGCTGTGCATTATCTCGGTAGGGTTACCAGTGGCATCTCGCTGGACCTCAATCGAGGGGTTCCAGGTGAGGCTGGGCACTTCGGAAAGATCTCCAGAGCGAAGGGCGATCCAGGTGGGTCCATTGTCAGGTAGGACGACGTTGGCAGCTGTCTCAAGGATGATGAGACCAAGAGAGAAGACGTCCGCAGACTGGCACGATTTGCCCTTGAGCATCTCAGGGGCCATGTACTCACGATCGCCCTCAACGTCCACGCCTTCGGCAGATGAACAGGACTGGGCTAGGCCAAAGTCACCAATCTTGAGAACACCTTCGAAGGTGACAAGAATGTTGGCCGGCTTGAGGTCCAGGTGCATGAAACCTGAACCATGGATATCCTTCAGGCCCTATAGAAAGGTCAGTACGTAAAAATGCAGCGAATTGGGTTATAACTTACCAAGCAAAGGTCCTGAAGGATCTTGAAGATGCGGAAGTCGTCCAGTCGTCCACCACGTCCAACATTACCCAGGAACTTGTCGAGGGTACCCTCTTCGCAGTATTCTGTTTGGATATAGAGATGGTTATTGTAGTCCCAGTGATCGAAGTACTGGACTACATGCTCAGAGTAGCTAAGAGTCCTCAAAATCTCGGCCTCTCGGACCTTTGTATCCCGATCCTTTGGTCCCTGGAACGCATGCTTGCTCTTCTTCACAGCATACACTCTTCCCTTGGTGGGGCTTGTTGTCGGGGTTGTGCTGAGGTTGCCAAATGTCATTTGATGGTCCGCCTGAGTGACACGATAGACAACGGAGAATTCACCCTTTCCAATCTGCTCCACCTTGTCAAATCGGGAGGATAGGCTTGCATCAATGTCAATGTTACTAGTACGAGCATTCACAGGGGTAACGAGGAGGCTGGTAGATGATCGCAAGTCCCGTCCTGCTGTTGGTGTGACGGGAGGTGGCATGTTATCAGAGAAGCCATCGCCAATCTGAGAAATAGACAATCGGCTGGTGTCGAGAGGCAGCAAACTTTCACGAGGCGTCTGCGGTGTTCTTCGTCCATCAAGGGGGCTCGCTGATTCACAGAGTTTCGATTTAGTAAATGTCTGATGAGGAGAACTGAGGGAATGACTCAAAGAAACTGTGCTTAGTGGAGAAGGAGAGTGTAATCCTCGTCGAGCCCTGGAACGGCCAAACGACGATAGAGGCAGGTGCGAAGATGGGGAATACAGACGTCCAGCATCGATAAGTCGACTTGAATTGTCGACTGTTCCAGCTGGTCCGTCCGTCGTTGGGATTTCCGACTTACAAGTTGCTTCCCGAGGAATAGAGTTGCCGAGGACCGGAGTAGTAGAGTGCAATGTTCGGTTGGCAGTTGGGCTATGATTATCATGGGGACTCTCAAATGAGTACTCGCTGACCTTGCTAAGGCTGGGAGTCAAGGTGTTCTTAGTTGGAGTAGGGGGAGCGTCGCCTTCCATGGGTGTCGAAAAGTCAATCGTTTCGCCAAAGAGCTTGTGCTCGTCGCCATCCAGGCTAAGGACACTGCCGCGACGTGCACTCCTAGAAGCACTGCCACGCTGGAATATCGACATGCCCTTTCCTGGCCTACCGAAGCTGTTGGGACCTGTGCTGTTACCAAATGGGGTGGAAGGGAGACCGCCAAAAGAATTCCGGTTGTTACCCCTCTTCTTCATGGCACTCCCGGCCGGTGGAGGGAAAGTGGCGAACGGGTTAGAGTGCTTCTTGC